GTGTGAGGCCCTGGAAATAGCCCCTCCCCCTAAAAAAAGGAAAAATATGTAAAAATTTGTTATGTTAAATCGTCAGGAAAGCAAATTATAAGTGTCGAATCGGCGACACCCGACTTTGACGTCGACGCTCATCAAAAGTTGACGAAAAAACAAAATTTTAGATATAAAAGAAGAAAATTTAAAATATTAAAAGTTAAGACGCAGTTTAGATAGCAAAACGAAACTAGAAAAAATGTCAAAATGAGCATAGGTGTCATAGTCAACAATTAAACGCGATCAGATTCGAAAAGATGGTGTCGGATAAACCATCTCCAGCCGACATTTTCCACGAACTTAACGAAGCTCCATTTACACCTGGAGACAGGTGGATGACCAATTGGAAAAAGGTGATGTAAGATCTATCCAATTGACAAGGAGCCGATCGCAAAAACCCTATAAAAACGCAAAATTCAAGGACAACAGGACTTCCACTAAGACTTCCTCTAAGACTTTTCCACCTAGACTACCTGTTGTGTTCGTTTGTCGACAGCTGTCGCGTTTTTTTTTTCATCTTTTGTGTGCTGTCACTGCAGATCTCGAACTTCTCACTCGACGCAGTCACGGGGCCCCTCCAGCGTAGGACCAGATCGACACCGAAAACAACTTGCGAAGACAACCCGAAGTTCCGAACTTAAGGACCTTTGCCAACAAAAATTATGTAAGCATTATCGTCCGGAATAAACGGTTTACCTTTGTAAACATTTGTCTTTGCTGCCTTAAAAAACCGCCACCCACATACGCTAAGACCTTAGACCATCCCGACGATAAGGGAATAAAAATTTCCCCCAATCGGCGTTCCTACACATATAACGCTTCCAATTCTATTCAGTTCTGGGCTGTTAGCCGCCTGCCCACTAGATATTTCGATTACGTGAATAACGAGTAGATTTATAACTTAACCCAACCGATAAGAATTTACTGGTATGTTTTTACGATAGTTCTGTATAATTGACGGAAGTTTAAAAAATCCATTAAAATATTTGATATATTTATTCCGCTCTCCGATTTTATATTACAGTCGACCCCCCTATAAGATAGAGATACGTTCCATTCTTTAGGAATCCGATTTCTTACGAATCCTTCCAATCACAACCCGACACGTGTCAAGTTTACGGACTACGGCTGTTTGAAAGGTTTTCTTCCATAAAATTAATCGATTCTAGACTAATCCGACTCAACATTTCCAAAATACGTATATTTTTTTTGGGAATAATCCGTATAAACTACGCTATAAACAAAAAATTGTAGGATTACTTACCGAGTGTCACCATTCGGCATCGCCATTGCTCAACATTGTTTTCGTCGCGGAACAGCTCAGCAAA